GAGGAGGTGGGGGAGGGACACCAGCCCCAGGTAAAGGTGGTGCTGCTGGTGGAGGTGGGATGCCCCAACTGGGCAAAGGTGGTGGTAGAGGTGGTGGTGGTACTCCAGCACATGGGAGATGAGGGGTTGAAGGCAGCATTGCTATCTCCCCACTTGGCAAAGGTGGAGGAGGAGGAGGGGGTGGTGGCATGCCCGGTAAAGAGTGGTCCGGGTGTTGCACTGCTGAGCCAGCAGAAGAAAGGAGTCCTGAGCCAAGCAAGGGTGGTGCAGGTGGTACTCCTGCCGTGGACATGGGAGTGGCAAGGGAAGGGCCACATGCTCCAGACAAGGGAGCAGCCAGTTCAGTGGCTGGGGTATGCTACATGTGGGCTCCGGGGGCAAAGGAGGATGGTGTTCGCTACAAGTCACATCTACAGTACTTAGCGGCTGATGGGAAGCTGGCATTTCAGTCTCTCCTTCAAATGCAAGGGACAAATTAACTTTGGGTCCTGGAAGAGGTGATTGTGGTGTACCCTGTACCGATTGGCTTGCATCCAGAGGCACCGAGATTAGCTTCGGCGACAGAATTAAGGAGATCTCAGAACAAAACACGGGCTGTAGTTCTAGAGCTGGCAATTTCTGAGTTGGCCCTTCACTTTTGCCCCCTTCTAAGTGCGACGGTGGGGGTGGCTGTGGCAGTGCATTGGCTGAAGGCATTGTGTGTGTTAAATAATCCTCTGTTGGAGACGTTTGTACAGATCTCGCTTGTGACACAGTCCTGGGTATGGTCTCCTCTCCGTTTGTTTGAAGAGTCACACTGCCGAGTTCCCTACAGACTGTGCGTGTGTGCTCATTTTCCTGCTCCCTCCCAGCAGTCTGTATCTCTGCAGCAGGGAACTGTTTCTCTAGTTCTGCGATTTTGGTCCTCAGATCCTCAATAGTTTGCTCAAGTTGTTGGATGACACTGGCACGCTCCTCAGATTTTACCTCAAAATCACCCTTTGAAAGAAAATAAATATAAAATTAGCACAAACCAGACTACATCCATCACTATATTAAAAAAAAAAAAAAAAAAAAAGAATATTGGTATTCCAGGTGTTCAGAAATAAGCCAGTTATGATAAGCCTTTAAAAACAGAGGTATCATTTTGGTTAGCTGCATCTCACAATGGAAGAAGATACCTTAAGAAAGTGACTTGCTTCAGTATGAAACTACCTCCATCAGTATGAGTGTGTTTTAGACTGTGATTATATTTGGCAAGTTTTAGACTGTGATTATATTTGGAAAAACCAAAAATCATCAGCAACTCCTCCCACATACCGTGACCAAGAAAAAAACCAACCACTGAGCACAAGTACCACAAGCATTTGTGTACACATGGATACGCAGACATGGCATTGGGAAGGGCACAGCATTACCTTAATTATATTAACTGAAAATGTTAAGTGTTTCTTCAAAGGGATGCACTGTGCATAACATTTAAACTACTGACCGCTGGGTTTCAGTATACACCTTAATGATACAATACAGATTAAGAATGCAGAATATAACAAATAAGTACTTTTTGAAAACAGCTAATCTCAGAACAGAGTAATTATGCTTTTCTCCAGCCAGCATGCTTGCGAAGGAAAAGAAGTAAGAAAAAACTAAGGGAAAACTTTCCTCCCACCCCAAATTTGAAACTCTTCAGCCAAGTGACAGACTAAGAGTAACGTTAGAAAACCTTCCTGTCTGAAGTGTTTATTCTGTATTTGACATTTTCCACATTTTTTTGTATCTTTCTCTGAAGCATCTGATACTGCCTGCTGTAGATTGACTAGAAGAACCATTAATCTTAAATGGCACAGTAATTCCTGTTTTTAGGTAAATACCAGTAACAAACTGTACTAAATTTAATGGGCATATGCTTTTATCAAAAGGTACCTAAAGAAGCAACCTAGTCCAAAAATTGCCATTTGTGCTGATGCAGGAAAGTTGAACAAGAAATAGAACAGACGTGACTTTACAACACAAAATCTTTTAATAAAGAGCTTATTATTTTCTAGTTGCATGCATTTACTTTTTAGTACTTTCTTTTTTCTTTAAAGTATGAATATTGGTCAGCACCTCAAGCCTTTAGCTGAATTAAGTTTGTCATGCAACAGGTTTCCCAAGTGGCTAAAGTAAAAGTTATTTAGTGCCTTTCTGTTCCCTTTTATAAAATCATAAGCTTTGTGGATGAAACTGTAGGCTTATTTCATAGGAAATCTTTCAAATATTCAGAGTTTACAGGTCTTGTAAAGAAGCCTACAAACAAACATACAATACCTGATATACTAATTGTCTTGATTTGTTTCAGGAAGATGATGTTTTTCATCTCATCCTTTGTCACATGAAACATTTAAAAGTAATTTTTCTTTTTGGAAAATGAAGTTCTAACTTCCAGCTAGGTACTATTAATAAAATATATGTTCATTAATACTTAAAAAACTGTTTCTGCACAGAATTGGTTTTCAAACATAAAATTTCAATTTTGTATTTATCTTAGAGTTTCCCAGCTGTCCTAAAGGAATCCCAGAAGTAAAACAGTAACTACTACATTTTAGACAAATATTGTTTGATTTTGGATCACTTTTATCAAAACTTACAATCCCCTACTTGTCTGAAGTCTCTGGAACAGCAGTGTGAACCAGAAGTTGTGGATTATAACTGGGTCTCCCTACCAAACTTTGAAGAGAAATGTAAAACGTCAAAAAAGTTTTTCAATGAATAGTGAAGGAATGAACACAACAGACATATTAACAAAAAGCATTATAACAAGGAAAAAAGGCTGAAAAATACATTTCCATTACAGACTACTCATGGTGCTTCAATTCACTCAGTTTCCTTTAATAACTCAATACTTTGTAACAGCAACAGTTTTGTTGAAGAACTTCACTATAAAGGAGAAAGAGAACATTCTATTACTCCTTTGTATCTTCTGCTCCTATCCCGCTACTAGTCACCTGTGAATACAATAAGGCCTATTAATTCTTCAAAAGGCAACCTTATCAAAGGATATGAGTTCCTAGGATTATTAAGGCCACACACCAATTTTCAGTTATTTGAGAACAAATCCAGTTTCCCCAGATTGTAATTATCCTAAATTTCCATTTTAAACTGTAAGAACACTCCACCGAGGGTTATGTGACAGATAGAGCTCTCCAATCTTATCTGAATTAGAAAATTCATTCCTGCCACAAACAGAATGAAGCCAACAAGATTAGACACAATATTAAATGGTTCTGAAGAGATTAGCCTTAATGATGTCTAATCTCAGAACAGTTCACTGTTTTAAAAATTCATTTACTCAGGAGATTGGATTCAATTTTTCACAAGAAAAAGAGATAAACCCTGAATCTTGAAATTCTACCTGTACTACAGCAAAAGTCTAGAATTTACTGTTTTACAAGAGAATTTACCCTGCAGACCATGAAGTTTCTTTCAAGAGAAGTTTTTTTTAAAGTTTAAAAAGTGAGATAAGCAATTCAGAAAAGAAACCAAAATGTATTGAGGAATTAAAACTACTTTTGACCTGAAAAACAGTTTTTCTGCTGTTTTTGAGACATGGCATTTCAAACAACCTGGTGATTTGCTATTATGTTGTTACCTAAGAATTACCTATATATCCAGGTTTTCAAAGAAACAGCATATTACGGACAAACAAGACTTTGCTGTGAATGCAGAGATATTTATCCAGAGGAAATGACAAATTTAAATTTATTGGGTTTTAAAAAACAAAAAAATCAAAACAAAGCCCCAGTATTTATATGCTTCAGTAAATATTTTAGATAAATAGTGATATTTTTCATTTGTACTTTTAAGATGCCCGCAGATTAGCTTAACTAGATTTCTGCTTTTTCCCTAGCAAGAGGTTGAAAGTTTTCCTCTAGATGAGAAAGGGCTTTATCAAACAAACATAAGCCGCAGCAAGTTTCCACTATCCTCAACAAGGAAGGAAATTTAAAATATATGTAAGTCCAATCAGAAATTAAAATGAGTCTGTTTTCTTAGAAGAATAAGCAAGAGAAGACATAATTTTTCACACATGTAAAAGGTGGTCAAAAGCTGTTGACAAGAAGCAGAAGACCCAGATAAAAAAATACATATAATGAAAAGAAGGTTTATTTTTAATCCAGAGGACAATTCCACAGCAGAAACCTACAGGATTTAAAAGAGATATGAGGGAACTCTGTCTTGCCTAGAGTTCTTACCCAGGACCCAGGTACTGTGGAACAGTCTTCTTTCTGTAAAGAAAGAAAGAAAGGTGGAAGCTTAAGCCTTGCTTTATCCAGGTGACTTGAGTGTGAAAGAAGCGAGCAGGAAAAAAAATTCCAGATGGGTATGCCTATAGAATGGAGCCCAGCATTTCTCAAACAGGTTGTACATGTTCCATATGCAATGAGCTGGATGCTTATTCTGGGACTGCTGGACTGGCTGTGTTTGTGTTGCATCGATAGGCTTGTGCGCATACAGTACCAAACTGATCTGGGAATACCGGCTTTATTGTATAAAGGTTGTACACTTGGACCTGCACATGTACCAAAAGCCTGTACATTACATCCAATTCATTCCAGTCTTTTCATGTTTTCCACATGTGCACATCAGATGTCCAGTGTAATGCTGATTAATACAGACAGAACACACCCAGGATCTTCCTACATGTAAAATCTCAGATTGCAGCTACCTTCTCTACTGAGTCTGACAGCCTAGTTTCGAAGATGAGTGACTGAAACATACAGATCCTCTAACAAAATTTCAAGGCAGAAAACCCTCTGTGCATCTGTGAAATTTAGCCCTAGTCTATATGTATACACATAGACACATATATGTGTTTCTGTATTATATATTTAACTATCTCAACTTGCATTTACTTAGATACTTTATGAACTGCCATAATAAGTCTTTCTCTTCTGAAAATAAACATAATGGCAGATCTTAATGGCAATTTTGGAATATTTGGAAAAAAAATAGACGTTACAGTTTACTTTTAGAAGTTAATGCCTTATGCCTTATACTACTAGAAGCCAACAAGTTGCAACAGCAGTTTGATATTTTTCAGCAATTTGTCATGTAATGTAATGAAATTTCCTCTCTGTGTGAAATTCATATTTAGATGATAGGATTATACTACCTTTTTTAAAAAAAAAAAAAAAACAAAAAACAACATTAACCTTTTAGTTTCTCTATGTCAGAATTTATGATTCAGAGTCTATGCTGCTACCTGATTGCAAGCACACACACGGAACAGAAGCATAGAGTTAAACAGGACTAAGATGGCAAAATAGAAGACACCACAGGTATTCCAATAAGTCAACACCTGGTGGTACTAGCAGCATCCAGTTACTTGGAAGGATGCTCTTTCCAACTGCTCTGTTAATAAATGCCTCTTTTCTATGTGAAGTGAAAAAATTTTGAGTGTGCCTGCTCGCCAAATGGCACAAAGTACTGACACAGTAAGAATTTAATTCAGAGAAATGTGATCTCTCTTAAGGCTTCTCTTTAAAAAAAAGGCTGTCTCATTTTCAAAGCTGCTTCTTGGAACTGCAGATTAATCTTAAGAAAAGGAGACACAACACTTTAACAGGCATTTTCAGTGCTACGGCGTTTGTCAAATGACAAGTACAATGGACACTTGATTTACATTCAAATAAAATAGCATCCATCTAATTAGTTCTCACCATTTCACTTAATCCTCAAAGCCCATTGTACCATTTTAGTTCTACAGTAGTAGAAGTCAAAAGTTACCAAACTTGCCAATGGCATTAGGGAGAACTGCTGAAGGAACAGAATTAGTATTGGATGCTAGTTTCTTCCTCAGACTATGAGATCAAATCTTTTTTGAGAAGCTTTTATTATATTGAAGGTGCATGTCTGGGGACAAAGGAGATATATTTTCACAATAGTTTAAACTGCTCTCCATGTTTCTTCCTACAACCAAAAGGAAACGTGATGCACAGCTCCAATATAGCACTGGAAAAGCAAGCCCTGGAATAGAAACAGTGTAACGCACTGCCCTACCTGAAGTGATAACCTTTATTGGGTGGACATGAGGTAATCGCCCACACAGTGATACAGTGAAACAGATGGATGACACCAGCCTGCACTGTGCTGTCACTGGGACTATTTAGGTCTTCCGAAGCTAAAGAGCTTGGACATGGCTAATGAATCAAGAGATTTTGTCATAACCTATCTTGGGTGACAAAAAAACCCAAACCAAACCAAAACACATTACATTAAGAAATCAATAATTATTGCAATTTAAATAAAAAAATATAGGATCAGCAGGGAGCAGGGACCTTTGAAGAAAGATGCATGCACTACAAATGCCAAATTCTAAAGCTGGAAGTCAGAAGCAAACAGTTTTATTCAGACTCAGTTTCTTGAAGCTTCTGTTCTTGAACAGTCTGAATTCCTTATCCCTGGGCTAAGGGCATTTCAGAGGGTAAGATCCCAGTTCTTTACAGTTCCCAATTTAGTAAATAATAAAAAACAAAACTGAAAAATCAACTGGAGATGCATCAAAGATTGAAAGAGTTTTCTCTCTATAAGTCTTAAGACTCTTAATTAAGCTGAAATTTAACCTTTGGTTATCCAAAAGTTATGCTAAAATAGGAACCTCAAAAGAATTTTTGTAGATTACAGACAAGATAAAATAAAATCTCACAGAACCACTGACCACCCTAGGAGCTACACAGCAGCACAGCAGTCAAGTATAGTTACTGTTGTCTTACATAATATTACTTTTAGCCTGCACAAATAATGTTTTTTCAGTCTACCCAGAAAGTTTTAGACCTGTTTAATTTAAAAAAAACCCCAACCAAATAAAAAAAAAAACAAAACAAAAGACAACTACCCTCCTCAAGTCTTGAAGGATTCTCTCCTAGCGTACATGAAATATGGTTAGAGAAGCATGAAACAGTAGAGCAGTAAAAATTAATGACTTCAAAAAAAGGCTTACCCATTCACAAAACTTAATTTAAGAATGAAGAAACTGGTTTAACTTTCCTGTCACTCACTCACCTATGCCAGGAATCCAATAAGCAACAGGTACTTTAAAAGTGTCAGATTTCCTTAAAAGTTGGGCTAAAAACTGTTCTGGATTTATTTTCTGCTCAATATTTAGGCTGTTTATTGAAATGACTATCACATGATGAATCACTTCCTTTCTTCTATCACCTGTCCTAACATATTTTGACTATGAGTTTAAAAGGTTTGAATAGTTTTCCTATGTATCCAGGCTAAGGCAACCATCCATCTCATTCTGTTAAAACAAAATAAAATCTGGCATACCTTTAACATTACTACATTGGCATACTAGAAAAGGAGTGAAACTATTTCACACTAGGCCTTTTCTTGATTTTCCATCCAACTTGAGATTGACTGGCAACCTCAGAAGTCACTGTGCAAACTACTTAATTCTGTTATTATTTCTGTGTTCTTTATATACAGAAAATATACTAGTTTTTAATGCTAGAAATAACAGTAAGGATTCTATTGCTCAAATGCAAAAATTAATAATCTAAATTTGAAGGACTCTGAACACCTTTAATTTTTTCTGAGGGTTCAGTATTAGAGATCGAAAAAGGTAATTATTTTCCAGGTGAACTTTTCCACATCCTGGTAAGCAATTGTATGATACTTCTACCCAGTACTTGCCCTTTTATCCAAGAGTTCAGCCAGACCACAAAATGGGAGGTTCAAATTTTGCTTTTGTTTCAGGCTTCCAGCAGGGAATAAGCAGTAAAAAATATCCACAGTAAGAATAAATCTTTGTATTAAGGGATAAATAGTCTTCACTATCCTGAACTATAATCCTGCTATTCACAACAGAAAAAGTTTGGAGAAATAGAATCAGTGTCTTCGCAAATGTATCCACAAACATGCTGAAGGCAGGGGGCTGGAGGTCAAACAGCTTCTATAACTGATAGTGTGAAGGCTATACTAGAAGCAAAGCTGTATCATCTTGGGTGAGAGAATATTAAATAAAATCGATCACCATCAAATCATCAAAGATGAGCTTTACATTTTGAGAGGTTAAGTAAAAACTTTTTGGTATCATGGAGATTAGAAAAAAAAATCATTTGTCTACTAAAAATTGAATATTGGAAAAAAAATAATTAAACTTTCAGGAATATAAGAGTTAACTTTTATTAGTAGTTTTGGGCTTTGAATCAGCATATTCTCTAAAGAAAGAAAATAAAAATATGTATTTAAAAATAAAGAAAAGAAAAAAGTGATCTTACTGGTTTTACTTATACCAACTTAAAATGGTGAACCTAATGATAACTATCTTTTGATCGGCTTGTAAGTAGAAGTTAAACTGGTTAGTCTGTTTTGTATCCAAAGAGTATAAATTCTTCTCATCTTTACTTTTAAGTTCTCATTCAAGTAAGGCAATATACCATGGTTATGTTTGGGGTTTTTTTGTTTTGTTTTTTTTTTTTTTTTTTTTTTTAAATAATTTTGGATCTTTGTAAGTTAAAGAAATATACATTTTGACTAAGAAAAGCATTTCTTATCTCTCTTCCACACACCTGGTTACATGGAAATTCTCAGGATCTACACCACTGTGAAGCAGCACCTGACATTTAATGCTGAGAGGAAAAAAAAGAATTTAATCTTTAGAACATGGCTCACTTTTGAGTGCATGAGGTCTCTCAAATGGGTTAAGACAACTCGACCAATGAGGTCAGTCTGTCCTGCTAGGAATGTCAACAGAAGATATTTTCTTTCAGTGACCAGATATTCTTTGGAGATGCATATTATGGAACGTGCACATATGCACACACACAAACTTACGTATACACATTTTCATGCTGTTGTCTTGCATTTAATATGTTTTCTACATCTGTTCACTTTAATTAAATTTATGTGGAGTTCTTTTTAAAAGAAATTTGGAAGGTAGGTAAATACTATAGTGCCTAAAATATTCTATGTAATCCAAAATAGTATTATTCTTTTGAATATATAAAAACTCTTTGTTTTCATTTCTCTCCAAAAGGTGACAGGAATTTCATATAAAAGTAATCAAACTTCAAGGGGAATTAATAGATTTTCATATTAAATAGGATTTTGTTGGGGTTTTTTCAGAGAATTTAAGGAAAAAAAAGTATTTTAATAATTAATAAACACAGTAAGAGAAGAAAATAGAATACAGTTTAAAATTGCACTTTCAATAAGTATATGCCAATCATGCATTTCTATTCACTGCTCCCTCAGAGAAGGGACAGTGCTCTGCTAGTAT